AGGTTTTTAAAATGTTTAAGAAGCTTCATTTAAAATTAAATTAAAATGCAGAGCCTCCTGGACCGGTGGCCAGGACCCGGGCAGTGTGAGTGCCACTGAAAATCAGCTCGCGTGCCGCCTTTGGCACGCATGCCATAGGTTGCCTACCCCTGCGCTAAAACAAAAGAAATGTCCTCATTCACAAGTGAAATGCTGCTGCTTTAAAGTAAGATTTCAGATAATGCTCATTTCCTCAAACTGAAGGAAGGATTTCGTTTTTAAGTGATTTATAAAAAAAAAATTAAAAGCTATATTATAAATGTAAAAATGATTTGCCAGGGGGATTAAAGCCACTTAAGGGGAAATTTAGCAAACTACAGGTTTTGCATTTATCTTCTCACCCTGCACGTACCTATCACTGAATGATACAAATCCACAGTTTGTTCCCAAATTGGTTTCTTACCACTTCTTAAGTTATCATCATTAATAAGTCTTCAAACTGGCTGGATTGTTTTAAGATAGTGAAGTAAAATTAACAGAAGATTTTACATACATATTTATTTATCTCCATAGTCTAAAACACGACAGTGACCAAACCTATATATAAAAGAGATCTGAAGACTAAAGAAAGATTGCTAGTTAGATCCTTTATTATAATATTGGTCCCTGATTTTAAAGCAAAGTAGCAAGAAAGGCAAAATGGATCAAGATTAAAAATTCATGACAGTGACTTGATAAATATTTAAATGTATATTTTAATTACTTTCCGATTGAGGATGGTGTGTGCAAATAATACTTGTATCCTATGACTGTCTAATCACCAATTATTTATATAGCATCAGAGGTGAGCTAGGTATTATTATATCCATTTTATATAAAATTTTATAAACTGAGGCACACAGACTAAGGGTTAGATTATGACTGGCTTTGCATATATGAGCTGAGTGAGTAAGGTGCAAAGAGTCTTCTGCTGTCTGTATGTCCCTGCAAAGTAGCTAGACACAGTTGTAGACCACCTAAAAATGGGTGGGGAGAAAACAGGGCTATGTAGCTGTCTGGCCTCAAAGGGAAGCATATGCTGCACCCTCTGGAAAGAATGTACGGCAGATGTTCTCCTCCCATGCCAGGGAGCTCTGGGAGATATTGTGCCTCCCTGAGCTACCTTACATCCCAGAATTCCTACTGGGGCAGTATGGCCCTTCATCTCCCACCTACTGGGGGCTGTACCTTAATGACACAATCTGTCCGTAACTGACTAGCCCTGGCCACACAATGAATTATTGGCAGAGCGAGGACCCTAAAGCCCTAACTCCCACTTTCCTGGCCTGACCCCCAGACAACAGTCATCCTTCCTAGCCAACTACACTACCAAGAAAAAAAAAGGAGTTTCTTCTTGTAAGAAGGAGTGAATACAGTTCCACGGCTATCTATGACTATATTGCTAATACTTATACAAAGGCTAACTCAGCAGCCTTATAGGAAGAAGATCACCACACCAAGTTAGTAGATAAGTCTGATTCAGGATCCTATTAAAGTCAATGGGAGTTGGATTGGTCTCCAAATTATGCTTGACTTAGTTGCCCAAGTAGTCTTGTTAAAGCCAACAGGACTACTTGTGTGAGTCGGGCCTGATCTACACATGCAGTTGTACTGATTTAACTAAAGGTGTGTTTTAAAGTTAATTTAGTTAAATCGGTGGAACTTTGCACGTGGACACTTTTAAATCAGGGACTATCTTTTTGTTCAGTTTTTGTACAGTGTCTAGTACAATGGAGTTCTGGTCCTTAACTGGGCCTTCTAGGCACTACCACATTACATAAAATAATAATTTAAACCTGGCGTTGAAATGGTAAATTTACAAAGGAAAACTAAGCTGATACAATTAGTTTTAAACTGATATTAGTTTGGACAATTTTAAATAAACTGGTAAATGAGTGCATTTTTGTGTGTAGACAAGCACTCCAGCACATAGCATTTGCCTCTATAAAGGACATCTTGATTGTAGCAGAGCAGGTCTGGCCTCACCCTCCTTTTTTTTTTTCTATAGATCCCTATTATGGTTTTGTTTTGTTAAAACCTGTTTAACTAAAACTCCCAGCATTAAACAGCTGAGAGAAAATCTGTCTGTGAAAAAGTTGTTGTTGGACTGCATTGGAGGTTTTTGCCAGCCTATCTGTCATTAGGATATCAAAGTGTAGCAAGTGGGGTGATATGAACAAACACAACATAATATCTGGTTGGTTGGTTGAATGGACAAAGGAGCCTTTAGAGTTCCATTGGATAATCTGCATCAATGGAGGAGAAGAGTACCAGCCCTCAAGAACTTCAAGCCATATACTGACCTTAAGACGCATGCATTTCTCTTACTGCTGTCCATAGTAGTGCCACAAATAGATTGAAGACAATATATGGTCGCAGAGCTATTCATAAAGTAGACACAAAGGTGGTTAACTGTGCTCTGAGAATGGTGGCAGCCATTTTGGGGAAGAACTCTAGAAGAGAAACCAATGTTGGAAACTACCAAACATGAGACTTTCTTCCTCAAAGCAGCACGTGTGGATACAACAGCAGTTGGCTACCTCAGAGAAGCCAGACTCAGGCTTGCAGTTTTCTAAAAGAATTTTAAAGCTCACAAAACTGTGTGGGGCAAGGTGACTCTGGAAATTGATAATTGACTAACAAGTCTTTCTTTGTGTCTTGCCAGTTTGAATCCAGTTCAGGCTGGTAGTTACCAAAAGACACAAACATCTCATGGCTCTTTGCTGGCTTCAGTCCAGTACCAGGTGTTTGTGTCTCAGAAACTGCCATCATAGTTGCCATTAACAAGTGCTTTATTTGGCAGTCTTGTCAGAGACCAGTGATTGGCTGAGCATGGAGATTGAACTTCCTTCTAACTCCTAGAGGTGGTCCTTTCTGGGAAGGTTGAGCTATGTTGCCAAAGCAACATGGAGAAACTTGTACTTCTGCTATTCAGGTTGCACCTGCTCTGTAGATTGAGGACCTCAGACTCTGGCATCTTTCACCAACATTGAGTTCAGATAAAAAACAACAGTTCTTTAACAAAAATTACAGAATTTCACTGAGGGACAGCTGGGGAAAGGAGAAGCAGCAGTGGTGATATTATATTGCTGTTAGCTGGGGAGGGAGAGGCTGGGTGTGGGGAAACCAGCTGTGCCACTCTGTCTCTATCTCGAATTTCAGTCTCGGTAGAATGTCGGGCGTAAGCTAGTGTCTGAAAGCTACCAGAAAACAAACTATTCAATGTCCTAATGCTGAAATGCAATGGAAGTAGCTTGAACTCATCCTATTCTGTCTTGAGACTGTAGCAAAAAATAATGATGGATAAGACTGATTAGCTGATTTAGACCATCCTTGGTCAGTGCATGGTTATTCTCTACAACATATTTATTAGTGCTTCATCCAGTCTGATTTTAAATTAGAATTAAAATGTCTAAACAATGGGGCTTCCACTACTTCCTGTGGGAGATCATACTACAGTCTAATAGACCTTGTGGTCAAGAAATGTTTCTTGATAGCCTACATTTTCCTTTGCATGATCCCATTACTCCTCAATATATACATTTTTCCTACCCTAAATTGTACACATCTTGTACCCATATAAAAGTAACTTTATATTTAAAAGAGCTATTTTCATTTATTCAAACTGTATTTCAAGTGTTAATTTACACAAGTCAGACTATGTTGCTTGCGGGGGATTGTTAACACTTTTTTTCCCATCTGGGATTGCAGACTCTCACAGACAGGTATGAGCCATCTACTTCACTCCAAGGAAACAGCTTTTTTTCCCATTCATGAAAGTTTATTGGTATCAGCAGTAGGTAGGCTGGATGACACCTACACACACCATTCATTACAAGGTAACTGAGCAGATGCACTTCAGCATACATTCCCCAAGTTGAATCTACAGTACCTTAGTAACACTGGCACACAGGTTTTTTTTTAAAAAGAAAAACTATACACTTTGCTGAAGTCTCCTCTTTCCCGCTGTCTGCCTTTTTATTCCAATAGTCTCTAATAAAATTCTTCCTTAATATTGGGCAATTTAAACAAAAAAAGGGAACTTCTCATCAAATTGATGGAGTCATTACTATTGTATTTTATTTATTAGTGCGTGTATTTATAGCTTTCATTTATATAGCACTTGTAATCGCCGATACCTTTACAAACATGTATATGAACTATTCACGGGGATCATTTTCCATTACTGACATATAATCAACTCTAGAGTGATAATGACAGTTCTTTAAGGCCTGATCCAAAAGCCATTGAAGCCAATGGAACTCTTCCCATTGACTTCAACAGACATTAATTCAGGCTCTAAACCGTACACAAAATGCTATACAAAAATGTAGACGTGATGAGAAATATTGCATCTCATTGAAACAAAGAGAAATAGTGACAGAATGATACATTTGGGATTTGATCAGGACACTAGAGTTAACACCCTCCTTTTGCAAAAAGCATTATGGAATGTTGAATGACCACAAGTGTTCAGGACATCAGTTTTATGTCTCATCTAAAATTATCACCTTTAGTGCATAATTTCCACCCCCTGCCTCAGTGTTCCAAACACCTGGCTGTGAGTATTGGTTTTAATACTGATTTAGAAATAAGAGAGCCAGTGAATTACCAGTATTATTTCCTCTCACACCTAGATGTTCCTTACAGGTCTCTTATCCAAGTACTAGTTTGGTTTAGATTGTAAGATCTAATGGCATCATAAAGTGTGGTGGTTTGACTACAGTCCACTACTGAAACATCAGGTGAAGAATGTCAAAGAAATATTTTTAAAAGGGTAAACAATTCTGAAGTGTTTTATCAATAGACCCATCTTCTAGAGTTCAGTGGTCATCAAAAATGACAGAATATTTCAGGACTTGAAGGCACGCTGTCATTTATCCCTTACCCAAAAAGCATAGTTTAACTTCTTGTTCGGTGCGGTAATTCTTCTCATTTGGGGTATTTGGTTTCTCCCATGCTTTTGATCCTTTATTTCATAGGTTGAAGGGGACCAATTGCCTCCAGGACATACCGTCAGCCAGTACGAAACATGTAAGATCAGAACAATAAAAGCTGGCACTCTGGAGAAACTTGTGGAGAACCTGCTGACAGCTTTTGGGGACAATGACTTTACCTACATCAGCATCTTTCTGTCAACATATAGGGGCTTTGCCTCTACTAAAGAAGTACTGGAACGTCTCCTCGACAGGTAAGAGTTAGCGAGTAACTGTAGAGAAAATAATAATATGGAAAACTGTCATGTTATGTACATGATGAGGAACATTGCAAGGAATTAGCTCAAATGTATTGAAGATGTATTTGAAAGGCTACATGATATTTAGATATTTCAAAATCAGTGCTGTTTCCTACAAGCTTGGAAAATCCAGTATTTCAGCTCAACCATTGGGTTGATAAATGTCTCTCCTCCTCACTTCATAAAGCCATCGCCGCCAAATAGGGAAAGATGGCTAGTTTGGGCTACTAAAGAACCAAATTGTGACTACTCTAGGGGAAGTGGCATAACCAATCCCAAATAACTGAACAGATATGCTGCAAAGTCAGAGTTATCACTGAATTCAAGCCATTAGTATCCCCTGGCACAGTCTCCTGTATGTACACAGAAGGGGCCATTGCCGTGTCAAGACCATAGACTGTACAGGCGTGAGCATACAAGCCTGTTCCATATCTACTACACTGGGCCAGAATACTCATCTTTATCTCCTGTCGTGAAAGGACAGCAGATTGGCCTTTTTGATTTTTGAAGGAAGCCATGATACAGGCACTGTTTTTTTGGAGAGCTCAGTGGTTCCAGAATCAGGGCCGGCTCCAGGCACCAGCTTGCCAAGCAGGTGCTTGGGGCGGCCACTCCGGAGAGGGGCGCCATCTCCAGCTATTCGGCGGCAATTCGGCAGACGGTCCCTCATTCCCGCTTGGCGCGAAGGACCTCCTGCCTAATTGGCGCCGCAGATCACGATCGCGGCTTTTTTTTTTTTTTTTTTTTTTGCGCGCCGCTTGGAGACGGCCCTGTCCAGAATACAAAATCTAATGTAGAAATCCATTTAATCTCAAAATAATTCAAGTTTAGTTGGAGTTAGTAAGGTGATTGGTCCATACATAAAAGACATCAGTTATCAGTCTGTAATATTCCATGCTTTTTATTCTGCTTATAAGTTAAGAATGGCTTTTTTGGTAGGAATACTTTAAGTTGTTTACATCACCATAGTGTAATCATTTTGCGGTTTCAGCAATTTTTCCCCCTCCTCTCTATTTATGACTTGACCTCCAAAGGGATAAAGGGGCATTTTATTTCTTGTGCTTATTTAGTTAGCATGTTGTCAAAATCAAGTGATGTACAGAAAGGCTATAGCATTGTCTAGTAATTAGAGCAGGAGACTGGGAGTTGGGACTCCTGGTTTTCTAGTCTTGGCAATCCCACTGACTTCCAATGTGGTACTGGGCAAGACATATATATTCTCCATGCTTCAGTTTCCCCATCTGGAAAATGGGTATAATGCTTATCTCACAGAGCTGTTGTGTGACTTCGTTAATAATGATGCTAAAGTGCTTAGAAGACAGGCCCTGCGTGACTCTTATGATAAAAAGTACTGTTCAGATACAAGGAGCAGAAAGGCCATGTAGGAGTTGTGAAAGAGAAGCCACACTGGGGAACAAGAATACAAGGTTAGCTTCAGACTTAAGAATGTCCCTGTCAATCTGCCAAGATCCAAAGGTGGAACACAATGGATGACAAAAATCCACAATGAGGAGAACACAAATATTATTCATGCAGAGAACTAAAGATACTATAGGATTCCTTCTTTAGTGTGAGCAACTCTTTCCATAACCTCAGTTTCATGATTCTTTGCTTCTGATGTAACTAATTTTCAACAATAAACATGAGGGGACACCAATTTTTTGTGGAATGTAGGGAACTTTGGAGCTCCAAGGAGTGATGACTCTCAAAATGAGGGACATTAAAGTGGTGTGCCTTGAGAATCTTTCACCCATAAGCAAATGAATTGTTAAAAAAATTTAACGAGTGAACAAACTGGTATATGCCTATAGATTGGCTTGTTTGTTGTGTCACATCCAATAATGAAACTTCTATGGCATATAATTATTTTATAGGGATATATTTCTATCAGCAGGAACTTAAAAAAAATTCTAATATGTTGGAATTACTAAAATAAGTACACCTCTATCCTGATATAACACAATCCAATATAACGTGAATTCGGATATAACGCGGTAAAGCAGCACTCCGGGAGGGCGGAGCTGTGCGCTCCAGCGGATCAAAGCAAGTTCGATATAACGTGGTTTCACCTATAACGCAGTAAGATTTTTTGGCTCCCGAGGACAGCGTTATATCGGGGTAGCGGTGTACTTAAAAATTCAACTTAACTTTGTTTAAAAGCATCTATTTTAAACGCAATTTCTCTGACAGTACAGTTGCTTTTGATTTGCCTCCTGGTTCCCAAACTGTACTCTCGTCCATGTCTTTGACATTCTCCTGTATTAATCAGATGTGTACAACAGAAGATTGCCTTTTTGCTATGAACAATTAGAAGTTACCAGTGTCTACATTAATCCAAATCAGACGGTCAAAGGGGGCTTGAAGCCAGATGACACACTTCTAGCTAACAAATGGTTTGATTTGAAATAAAATACATATTTCCCTTTTAAGTGCCCAGGAGATGTGTGTGTTCCCTTTTTTGCATGGGTTTTTAATTTGGTTGCTCCAACTCTTTTATGTCTTTGTAGTTGTCATTTAGGTGCTGTTGAGATTATTATGCCCAGTTTAATGGGGGGAAACTGAGGCACAGAGAGATTAAGTGACATGCCCACTCACACAGGAAGTTTGGAAATTTAATCTAAGTCTTCTATGTCCAAATCTAGTGTCTTTACCACAAAACCATCCTTGTTCTTTGTGTTATCTTCGTTCTCTTCCCAGTTCACATACTGCACATTTGTAACTTACCAATGTGTAAAAACAATCGTGCACTGAGGGGCAAATCCAGAACCCACTGCAACACCTAGGAGACTAGATTGGGTGCTGAGCAGATGTGCTGTGGTTGGGAGGAAGAAATCAGTCCCAGGCTGCAATGCAACACTCTGGAGAATAGCTCAGCCTGGTAGCTGAAGTAAACTCTGCAGGCCCGTATGTGCTGCCTGAGAAGCTACAGACACTCTTGCCCTGTTTTGGCCTATTACATACTACTGTGCAGGGGACTCTCATGGACTGGTAGCCTATTCTGTTCACAGGTTGTGCTTGCCATGTGTAACCTGCCTATATCCAGTTTCAGCCCTTCTGCAGCCAAAACTGCTTCAGTTCCACCACCAAAGGCTCATTTGAGGCCACACAGAAGAAGGCTGGATTAGCCCCTTATTGCTGGGCACTCTGCTAGATTTGTATATTCCCTGCAATTTCTTGTGATTCATGCCATAGGTCACTATGGAAAATGAGCAGATAAGGACAACTGATAAATACATTAGGAAACTGTTGTAGAAGGGGGCAACTGCTAAGGACATATTTTTCATTATAAGTCACTCTGCGCATTCCTACTACATGAGTTTCTACATCTGAAAACACAGTGACACAACTGGCACCGTTGTTTGTAATATTGGCCAAGGACTGGTCATCCCTGAGACGTCTGTTTAAGTCAGGGTTGATTGAGGCACGTTAGCCGGGAGTGGGGTGGGGTGGGATGGAGTGAGGAGGAAGGGGAGGGCTAAGGTGAAGGCCTGCACTCTGCTTGCTCATGCTGATCCAGTTTCGTGGTTCAGTTGGGAACATCAGTCTCCAAAGATGTCACTCCAGCACGTTCATGAGTGCCAAAATAAATACAGTAAAATTAACGCCCTTCAGCTGGGGATTTAAGAACTCTAAACTCAGGGATGGGAATCGGGGGATAATCTTTTGCAAGAACAGACCATACCAAAGCCATCAGCCAAGGTTTTGGGTGTTTGGTTTTTAACCATAAAAATGATCAAATTCCAGTAAACTACATTTAGTTAATGGAATCACAAAGAATCGTTTGGAGACCCTTGCTTTGCCAGGAAAACTTGTAGGCTCTCTCAGATTGCTCTGTGGGTTTTTTTCCTGAGGGGAGATGAACCCAAGGAAAATGAAGTCTAAGCAATGCACATTAGTGTAATGTTGAGGTTATGACTTTAGATTCACAAAGGTTAGGAAATTGGAAAAAAGTAAGTTTCTCATGGTAAAGTTAACACATCAGGGTTGTAGTTTCTATTTCTATGTTGCTTTGTAAATGTGTACATTATAGCAGGGATTTTCAAAGCCACCTAAAGGAGTGAGGTGCTCAAATTCCATTGGGCACCTAACTCCTTAAGCTTCCTCTAAAAATCACAGCCTAATATATTAATGTTTGTTGCTAAACCTAGCCCCTAAAGTGTACACTTTGTGCAGTGGGGCTGAGTTAACATTACCATGAAGTCCTTAATATTTTCATATCCTTGCTTTTGAGCATTTCAACTTGTAATCTTAGTGTTAGACTGACCAATACTCTGGTGTTTAGTATATTTTATACCAGTCTCTTCCCACCAGCATAAAATTGCCTCGTCCATGCTTCAGTAAAAAGAGTTTTTTTTTTAAAAAAGGAGGAAGTGGTGGCGGGGGGCGGGGAATTAAAGGGTATATTTTGCATACAGGGCTAAGTCTTTAGCCAGCTTTTAAATTTGAGCATGTGCATTTTGTATGATCTCTGTTTAAATGGCCCAGATTTTCATTTGACTGTGCATGTAGGTAGATAAGCAGTTACCCATGTTGCATGTGCAACATTGGAGCCCACTTCTAAAAATGGTTCAGCTAATGTCTGGTTGGCTGAAGACTCCAGCAGGCACATCATTAAACCCTGCAGAAGGCTTGGGTCCCTGGCTGCACAATATTGTTCCATTCCCACATTGCTGTGTCCTGCTCCTACTCTCAGGTCCTTCTTTGCTTCTTCTGAGCCTGGCACCTGACTTCTGCTCCTGCCTCCAGCTCCTTGTTCCTGGCTCCCAGTTCCTAGTTGCTGCTTCTGGCTCCTGCCCCTGTTCTGGATGCTGCTCTCACCCTTGGCTCCTGATTCCTGGCTTTTGATACCATCTCGGCCTCTGACCATGGCTCTGACACCTGGCTATCGGCTCTTGCTCTGGCTCACTCCTTGTACTTGGCAACTTGGCTCCTGATCTGGGTCTGGCTACTGGGTC